CAAGGAAGGCTCCTGCCTGCCTTAGCAGACACCTGGCTTTTCAAAGCAAGACAGCCACTTACCTGCTCAGCTCAGGCACTGCTCTCACAAGGGGGTGGCACCGGGGGTGGCTCTGCCTTACCTTGTGCCCCACATCCGACCAGCCAAAGAGAACTGGGGACACATCCAAGCCATCAAAGCGCCTGTTTGGGGGCAGGGCTGCCCCAGCCAGAGCCACCAGCGTGGGGAAGATGTCCAGGATGCTGGGGAAGGAGGGGACAGTCATCAGAGCGAGGAGGGAGGATCCCTGGAGGGTCTCCCCAACATCACCTGTGCCCCACATCCCTCCCAAGGGAGCTCCCAACAGCTGAAAAGGCTGAACCCAGCTCTGGCCCTGGCTTCACACCCCTGCCACCCCCAGCCAGCAGCTGGGATTCAGTCAGGCTGTGCCTCTCCCTGGGCAGGGAGAGCAGGGCACTGAAGCCCTGGGCAGTCAGTCACCCTCTGCAGAAATGCCAGCACAGGGGTTTTCAGGCCAGTGCCAGCAGCTCCTGGCTCCCCAGGAAATGTGGAGTGGCTGTTTCAGGGCACAGCACGAGCTGCCAGGATGGAACAGGAGAGCCCCACCAGCCTCCCCAGTGCCAGCCCCAGCCTGTGCCTGGCCTCAGCCACAACAGAGCACCCGGGACTCACCTCAGCCTCCCCAGAGCAGAGGGACCTGGGGAAGGGGCAGGTGACCAAAGTCCCTCTGGCTCCCTGGGGATGCAGAGAGGGACAGTCCCTGCTTTGTCACCTGCTGCCTGTGCCCTGGGACCTGACTGTCCCCACCTGGCACTGCCTTGGTGTGAAGGAGCTGCAGATGGGGTGGGATGGGGATCACCCAGCCCTTCACAGCCTGGGCACAGGCTCCCCCTCTTCTGACCATGTGTCCCTGAGGGGTCCAGAATCCTCACCCTCCACATCCTGTGGGGCACAAGTTTCTGTCCCCCTGGTGCCACCAACAGCATCCCTCCCTCACAGATGCAGCCACAAGGTGACCCCAGACCTCTCAAAGGAACCACCTGCAGCAGGGTGTCCAAGGGACAGTGGCCAAGTGACACGTCACAGCTCTGCCCTGGGGGACCAGGCTGTGGCACAGGAGCTGACAGCTGGCACTGCTGCCAGGACTCAACCCACACCCCTCTGCCTACAAAACCCCTGTGCCAGCAGCTCGGGGGGCTTGGAAACTGGAACAGGAGGCAAAAGCACCAGGAACTGGGGTCACCAGGGTGCTGCCCTGGTCCTGGCTCTGAGACTGTGTCACCACAGTCCTGCCACCACCATGGTCCTGCCACCACCACGGTTCTGTCACCACCACGGTCCTGCCACCACCAGGGTCCTGCCACCACCATGGTCCTGCCACCACCATGGTCCTGTCAGCACCACGGTCCTGCCACCACCATGGTTCTGTCACCACCAGGGTCCTGCCACCACCATGGACCTGCCCCTGCCCCGAGCAGGGTGGCAGCTGTGTGGGCAGAGAGAGGTAAGAGCCCTGGGCTTACCAGCCCCCCTTCTCCCACTGAAGGAGTTTTCATTTAGCTGCTAAGAGACAGAGAGCACAAATAACAACAAACACTGCTGTGAGCCGGGAGGCGCCCAAAAAGTCCTGGCTCTCCACTGCAACCCCTGCAGGCACCTTGCTGGGGGCAGAGCAGGACCCCCAGAAGAGCAGCTCACCTGGGCAGCCTGCCCCTGGTGCCACGGGTGCCCAGCGCCCCAGGAACCAGCTCCCAGCTCAGTGCAGGTGGATGGTCCCAGGCTGCCCAGCCCCAGGGCATGGCACCTCTGGAAAGCAGCACTGGGCTGGGAGAACAACACGGTTGAGGGCAAAGGTGGCTGAAGATTTCCCCAGCCATGGGCAGGAGTAACCCATGGAAAACAGGATTTTGGTCAAAGTTGGCATCAAAGCAAAGGCACCGGTGGGCACATCCTGGCATCCGTGCTTGAGGGAAAGAGCAAGCCACACTGCCAACCCTGCCCTGGCCAAGAGGGATTCAACACATAAAGCCACTCCAGCGTCCTGCTGCCACCTGAACAGCAGGGAAAGGGCCTGGCAGTGCCCAGGGACAGCAGCTCCTGCCCGTGGGGCAATGGGCACCCTGAGCCCCGGGCAGGGAGCGCTGCCCTGCCGCGGTGCTGAGCTCCCGGGCACCGTGTGGCACAGACACTGCCCTGCCTGGCTGCAGGCAGCCCTGCCCACGCCCCACCACCTCTGCCCATGCCCCACCAGCTCTGCCAGCCTGCCCGGCCCCACGCTGCCAGCACAGCCAGGATGGTGCCATGTCTTCCTTCACCACCCTCCTGACCTACTTCTTCCATGCCCTACTTCAGGCTGGGGCAGGGAAGGGCAGGAGCACAGTGGGTGGCTCTGACAATTAAAGCTAATTAAGAAAAGCAGACGAGGCAGTTTTGTGCAGGGCCCAGCGTGCAGGTGCTGGTCCGTGGCGAGGCATCAGCGTTTCTGTGCTGGCTGCAGCTCCCTGGCCCGCGGGCACGCTCACCCCGGCTCACCCTGCGCTCCCTGGGCAGGCAGCACACCCAGCCACGGGCCCCTGTGCCCAGCCAGGGGTTCCCAAAACCCCGTCCAGAGGAGATCCCTGCACATGGGTCAGGCCCTGCCCTGCCCTGGCCGAGTGCCCCCAGCCCCTCCTGCACACAGACTTCACTCCCTCCCTGTGGGAACCCAGGGCTTCCCTCTGGCTGCCCTGGGACCCTGGCAGGTCAGGAACCCCCTGGACAGAGCCCCCAGAGACACTGGCTGTGATCTCTGTCCATGGAAAAGAGTTTTCAATCTTACAGGATCAATTACCAGCTCTGAGTGTTTGATATCAGTAATAATTAGGTGTGGCATGGGTGCAAAAGTAAAATTTTAGGATTCTAGATGAGGGGTTCAAAGGGGACAAGATGGAGGAAATTGGGTGTGCCTTGTCCTTTTTCTCCTTCTTCATGCCCTCCATGTCTCACTGTGGTGTTGGCATTTTTCTGTTGGTTCAGGCTGGGGACACACTGTCCAACGTAGGTGACAGATATTGGCACGTTATTGTAAATCCAGCCAGGGAGTTTCTGGTATTTAATGTTTGTCACATCCCACTGAGGGCAGAGCCCCACACGCTGCCCTGCAGGACAGAGCTGGGCAGGGCAGCAGAACATGTGAGAGATAAACAGAATAAACAACCTGGAAACCAGCACAGACCAATTCTGGCTTCTGCTTTGGCAGTGGAGCTGACAGACAGAGACTTTTTACAGTTTCAGGATCATTTAAATATCACAGATTCCAACACCTCCCCAGCTTCTTGGTCTCCCCCATCAGCTGGGGGGGTTTCAGTCTCTCTGTTGCAGGTGCTGCTCTTTGGGGGCTGTCCTGAGGCACAGAGAAAAGCCACCTGCCCTGTGAGCACCTCCATGTCCCTCTGTGTCCCTCCACATCCCCTGTCCATGCTGGTGACACTCTCCTGAGGGTGACCATCTCTCACACCCCCCAGGCTTGTTTCTGTGCTGCCTCCCAAAGAGGAGATGCCCCTTCCTGGTGCCAGAGCATCACCCTGCCCAGCTGGGCATGGCCCCATGGCAGTGCCAGGCTCTGCTGGAGGTGGGGGGACACCAGCTGAATGTGACTGCTGGGGAGCTACAGAGCCAATTTCCAAGCTGGATTTCCAGATTTCCAGCTGTCCAACCTGCCAGACTGGAGCTGGGAAATGCAGGAGATAAAGTCTTTGAGGAGATAATCAGAATTCTTGGGCTTGGAGGCAGGGACAGGGGGATGAGATCCTGCACAGCCCGAGGGGCTGGCAGCTCTGCCCCATGGCCCACGTCCGTGGGCCATGGGGAAGAGCTGCCAGCCCCTCGGGCTGTGGTGCTACGTGCTCCTCATCCCCTCCACCAGACACCAGTGACTCAGCTTATGGCTCAAACCTTCCCTAGCCTGCAAAAACGCAGCTGCCAGAGCTGCCCTCGGGCTGTGGAACGAGTGAGTGTCTCCAGCTTATCTCAGGACCTTAGAAACACCCAGCACTGCCCCAGGGCCCGCCAGTCAGGACCTGCTTCCAGCAGCTGGACGCTCTTTCCCAACACCCAGCAACCCCTTAGCCCCACCACCCTGTGTGGCTCAAGGATGAAAGAGAACAGGGCATCCCAATGGCCAGGAAACCCAAAACCCCCAGCCTGACCCCAGCACTATGGGGATTTATCAGGGTGAAAGGGGATAGGACATCCCAATGCCCAGGAACCCCCCAGCCCTTCCAGCCTCACCTCAGCACTGTGGGGATCCAGCAGGGATGAAAGGGGACAGCACATCCCAACATCCAACAATCCCCCAGTCCCCCCAGCCTGACCCCAGTACCGTGGGGATCCAGCAGGGGTGAAAAGGGACAGGGCATCCCAATGCCCAGGAACCCCCCAGCCCCTCCAGCCTGACCCCAGCACAGTGGGGATCCATCAGGGATGAAAGGGGACAGCACATCCCAACATCCAACAATCCCCCAGCCCTCCCAGACTGACCCCAGTATGATGGGGATCCATCAGGGATGAACAGGGACAGGACATCCCAACATCCAACAATCCCCCAGCCCTCCCAGACTGACCCCAGTATGATGGGGATCCATCAGGGATGAACAGGGACAGGACATCCCAACATCCAACAATCCCCCAGCCCCCTCAGCCTGACCCCGGTATGATGGGGATCCATCAGGGATGAAAGGGTACAGAACATCCCAATGGCCAGGAACCCCAAACCCCAGAGCCCGACCCCAGCACCGTGGGGATCCATCAGGGAGGAACGGGGACATCCCCCCCACTCTGCCCCAGGCCGTGCCCCACTCCTGCTGCCAGGAGGGCTGTAAGGAGAGGTGCAGCTGCACATGAAGGGCTGCACATGCTGCAGGCAGAGGGGCAGCGCAGACCCCCGTGCTGCTGCCCGGCCAGGAGAGGCGCGGGGGCATCCTGCAGGGCTTGCCAGCGCCTCCTCTCCTCACAACCGCACCTCCTCCACATAAAGCCATTCACAGACCGCAAGGCCTGAGCCTGCTCCTCGCTGGGGAGAGAGAACATCGTCATCTTTTAATTATCGGGAGGCCCTTGGCCGCCGCGGCCAGGAGCACACGAAGCCCGGTGGCTGCGAGCGCCAACCCGCCAGCCTCACAAAAAGCCCTTTCAGCTCCTCTCAGCTGAAGCATTGAAGTCTTGGGAGAGGACAAAAGTACAGCCTGGCACAAGGCAGGGGAGAACCAGAGCAGGCAGCTGCTGATGCCAAAATCCAGGTGATGACCTGGCAGCGTGGGGATGGGGGGTCCTTCCAAATGGGGCCACCCCGCTCCCCGAGGGGCTCTTACCTGAGCAGAGCGTGGCTCGTCCTCCTGGCAGGGACACGGCCAGGCCAGTACACCAGGGCTGGCACCCTGTGCCCTCCTTCCCAGGTTGTTTGCTTTGCTGAGCTCCCACCTGCAGGAGAACAGGGCAGTGCTCAGCATCCTGCTGGTGCTGGAAAACCTCCTGAGCCCCTGGGACAGGAACTGCTCAGAGACAGAGACGGTGTAAATTACCCCAAAGGAGGATGGTTTCACTGGGCCAGGGAAGGGAGAAGGACTACAGGAGTTGTTCAAAGGGAAAGGGAAAAGAAAGGGTCTCAGCTGGGCACTGATTTGTGTTTCCCTGCTCCAGTGAGTGATGAGAAATGCAGCAACTGCCAGAGCAGTTGCATTTCCATCCCCTTTTGATGCCAGGTGAGAGAATGGAACAGGCAGGAAATGTAGGAATTCATTCCAGGGGCTTCTGTCCCCTGCAGGGCTCAGCACCAACAGCCCCCACCCCGCCTTGGCTGCTGGAAACCTGCCTCATTAAAAATACCTTCCTGCTAATAACCCTCCTGCCAGTTAATGAACCTGATCCATCCTTTCCCTGGCAGCACCCAGAGCACCCTGCTCTGCCCTTGGATTTGAGATGCACAGGGAATCTTGCCCAGTCCCTTCCTCCACCTGGAGGGCTGAGCAGTGGGCCTGGGGTGCTGAGCACCAAAACTGGGGTGCCAAGCCCCAAAATGGGAGCACCAAGCATCAAAAAGGCTGGAAGGGAAGGGTTGGAGAGCCTCTGCCTTGGCTGCAGCCCAAAGGGCCCCAGGCAGCTGGAGGGGGAAGGGGTTGGGAATGGGGCAAAGAGAAAATCCCAACCCAATTCACAGCAAACTTCCCAGGAGCAGCCTTTGTGCGCTGCCTTTCAGCGTGAGCATGGCAACGGCGCTCGCCCCGAGCCATTTCCTCCGGGCACAGCCAAGAGAGCCCCTGGGCTGTGCCCAGCCCTCCTGCCCGCCCAA